CCAATGAACGTGCAAAACAAACAAAGAGAGGGTTTGCTTATTTTGAGGGTTTTCTAGTACCACTAAGATTTTGGGATATCTCCAGGTAGTGTGAGATCACAGGAATAAACCATTAGAACAGGGTCTGAAATCAAGACAGTCTTGTCAAACCCAAGATAATTTGAAGTATTGCTACAGATTTAATAGATAACATTGTAACCTTTGTTTACATTCTGCTAGTTAACTGTATTGTATCTCATGGAAAAGCACAACATTTCATAATCTTAATTTACTTTGTTTCAAATTTTATAATTTAATATAGGTTAAGATTTTGTCATTTTAATTTTATTTTTGTTACGTTACTAGGACGGGATAGATGATTTTTCAACCTTTGTGCTGACTCCGACATTTTTTTAAATTGTGTTAGTTTACTTACTTAACCTGGCACAGCAATTCTTGCAGTACCTTTTGTCAATACAGATTTGATGTTTATGAAATCGAAAAGATAAAACTATTTAGCTGAAAGTGGCTGATTAAATTAGGAGTTAATAAAAAAGTGTTTTAAGATATTACCAATGAAATTACCAGTGCACCAGTGCCATCTTGTGGTTTACTGAGAAACTGCTAAAATAGCCAACATTTATTCTAAAGAAAATTGTTGTCATAGGTGTACGTAAATGTATGGGATGTGTATTGGCAAACTTTAATAAAGAGTTCACTTGCCCACCTTACTCCCATTAAAGTCCCCAAATATACGTATGCGACAATTTAAAAGGCTTTTCAGTTTATCAAATATGAAGGTTATAATTAAGCATTGTAAATTATGTTTATCAGTTTAATGAATAGAATTGAATAGAAATGACACTTATGATGGTTCCGATTTCAATAAATATTCTCCTTTAATTACAAAAAATCAGCAGTCCCCCCCAATGAAATATATTGTGCATATCTATGGTAATTGTGTGGTAGTCATGCAACATACATGGGGGATCTACATTAAACCGATACTAGTAAATAATAGGTTGATATTTTTGAAATGTCATGCAGAGAAATAAATGGCCAAAAATTATAATTATCCATGTCCAGCTGTTATTAATAAGGCAAAACAGAAAGTGAGAAACACATTAGTTGATTAGACAGGGTAATGAGGAGAGACCTGATAAATATCGATGGAGCTATGAAGAAAATTAGTTCTCTTTTCGGTATTAAATTGCAAATATCAGAGATGTCAAAAGACATTTTGAACCAGCAGGGAGTGAAGATATGCAGTGGCTGTAATTGTGTCAGTTTTACAACAAATTTCATTTGCAGGATTATTAAACAAAATACAATGTGTTTATTAAATATAGACACTTCTGTTTTATGATAATATAGATTATTGTGAGTGAAAGGGTTAATATATATATATAAATATATATATATATGAAATACAATAAGAACAAAAGATAGGATACGCACTATATGAAGAACTGTAAGATACCAAAGAAAAGGCTAAATGCAAGGGATACCCTCAACCCCTTACTAAAGAGAAAACAACACGATACAAGCAAAAATAGGTTGCGCCAATAATACAGTCCAATATATTCAGAGAATGCTTTTGTGCTTCTTAATTAACAGCTCTCCAGACTTCGGCTTGTAATCCAATAAATGAAAATAAAACAAAGAGATGGACGATAATAGTGCAATATGTTTAGTGTTAGGTGTGGACTCACAACACAGATATGAAAACAAGCACTCACATTAGATTGAGCTACAGACCAGCTCTAAGTAAAAATGTATATAGCGGTACAATCCCCACTGGCGGATATGTAGCTTTATAGATCAATATCTCACTTAACTTGCAGATAAATATACCGGAAAAAAATATAAAAAAACAATAGTGCTTACTGTGGTAACATATAATAACAGATAAGAATAATACACTTGAAGAAGCCAAGAAGCCCCTATACTAGTGAAACTCGTTGTGTTGTTTTACTATTCTGTTTTCTTAGCATTAAAGTATATTTGGCACCTACTCATTTGTGTTTGACCATTTATTTTACTTTTTATGCTTTTATTATTTTTATCAAATTTATTCTGTTCCTGACATACCTGTTCCTTGGAGTATCAACCCTACATCTGTTCCCTGGTGAGGATAACTCTCTGGAGAATTTACCCGACAATATATCCCTGGTGGGGATTATACCACCCAGGCGCTAATAATTGAGCAGTACCACTGCTCAACTAAATGTGAGTAAATTACTATTATTCTTATCTGTCATTATATTTTACCACAGTCAGCACTATTGCTTGTTTTTATATTTTTTTCTGGTATATTTATCTGCTGAGATATAAGAGATATATGAGAAAGCTACATATCTGCCAGTGGGGATTATACCGCTGTATGCCATTTTACTTAGAGCTGGTCTATGGCTCCATCAAATGTGAGTGCTACTTTTCATATCTGTGTTGTGAGTCCACAACTAGCACTAAACATATTGCACTATTATCGGCCATCTCTTTGTTTTATTTTCATATATTGGATTACAAGCCGACATCTGGAGAGCCGTTAAGAAGCACAAAAGCATTCTCTGAATATATTGAACTGTATTATTGGTGCAACCCATTTTTGCTTGTATCGTTTTATATATATATATAGCAGAGGGTCATCATTTCCAAATAGCAGCTGCATAATTAGAGATTAATATCAAGGTATATAGCAGATGTTAACAAGTTAAATTCATTGGCGAAATCTGTCACCAGTGATTTTAACAAAAGTATTCACTGAGGGTTTAGTAGGTTATTTTTGACAGTTGCAGAAGAGGAGTCAGGGTGTGGGGATGAAAACCTGCTTATCACACCAGAAAGGACGGATCTTGATTTAAGTTTGGTAAATATGTGTATGTGAAGATTGGAGCCTTTTTCAGAGGGGTTATTTTCTCAGGAGAATGCGCTTAGTTTATTTGTTTTTCAGCATTAATCCATTTGTAATGTTTTAAGTTAAACAAGAGTTCCTAGCTTCCCCTCTGTGGTGCTTGGGCTAACAAGGAATTCTTAGCATGGGCAGTAATGGGCAACTGTAATTGGTTGACAGTGTCAGCTGACTGTTTTTAGCCTATCACAGTGCCTATTGCTGGTATGAATTTATATTGCTAGAAGGAAGTGTGTAATCTCTGCCTTAGCCACACCCCGAGCAAGGGCCGGCTCTGGGTGGCAATGCACTGCTAAACTGCAAGAAAATGGAAAGCACTCCAGAGGACTCCAGACATTGTAACCAATTAAGTGAGGTGAATGGCTATTGTGCGTTTAGAGTCCCTTTAACCATTAGCTTGACCCTTGACCAATTCATAACATGAATGTTTGTGATACACCTGCATAATATTTATATTGTTCAAAAATAATGTTGTTCTTGGGGAGTTATTTGTATCTTTAACTATTAACCTTGTTTTCTTTATTAACAATAGATAACAATAGACCATAAAGACGTGATCAGCACAACACCCCAGCGCTGTGATCAATGCATTATATGAATTATGAATGAAGAAACAAGTGAATTGCAGAGACCCCCTTGCAGCCTCCAATATTGCCATACCATGCACACTCTGCATCGCGGAGCTCAAAAAGGTTTTCATCTTTATATCATCGCTAGTGATCAGCATGCTTACACAATAAATAATAAGAAAACTGCAGGAAAAAATGTGATTTGAGAAAAACTCTTCATGTGGTTGCAGTGGCCCTTTCGTGTAAGTGAATATACTTTTATTTTGTGCATACATACTATGAAATAAAGTTTAAAGTCTGTTATATTTCAGAAGTGTTTTTTTCAATAAAAGCGATGAGAGTGGTAGCCCAGTGTTTGGTGGTAATTACTGATGTGTGTTATCTATCTTCTGATAGGTGGGATAGGGAATATTGAAAACAAATTGGGTGCACTTACATATGGCGCCCCCTAATTTTTCTACTCGTGCCCAGCAGGTGGCATTAGTAAACAGTTTGCTGTTGTTTATAATCCTTATCACAGTCAGAGGGATGTGTGTGTTTAAATAAAACTGTGGGCACCATAACAACTACAAGTGTACATGCTGCCTACCGTGTTCCTTTAACACAATGGATGTCTGGTTCCACATTACTAATAAATAGTTTACATACCATTTAGCAGAGATGCTCGGCCCCCAGCAGTCTACAGCCACACATCCAATGTCGATGTGATGGAGATCTGTAGATTTTGCAAGCTGGTTTTAGATGTACCCGCAGTAAAAAAAAAAATGTATGATTACATGTATGCATGTTTTCTTTGTGGGGTGAGGGGGGAAGAATCTACTAAACAGATTTTTGTTTATTTATTTTGGCTGTGAAGTGTCTTTTTTTTTTAAGTGGGTGAAAGGTTTTCTTGTGAGGTTTATGGCACACTTTCATGTTTCTATCTAGCAAGACCACTTTTTCTGGGTTACTTTAAGTGTGGGTTCCTTACCGTAATTTATTTTTTTAAATTTGAAAAGTATTAACATTAGTGGGGTTGGTCTCCCATTTTGAATGATGCAACATGTCCAATACAACTAAAAAACTTCAAGGATCCACACAGGTTACCGAATGATATGTACAGCGCTACGGAATCTGATGGCGCTATATAATAAAATAATAATAATATGGACTCACAGCCTCGTACACTCTCATGACAGCAAAAATCATTTACATTGTATAAATATATATATATACAGTTTTAATGCTAATGGTCAAAGTTACAATTTCAATGTACTTTTATGAACTGCAAATAGTTGTTTTGCATAAAGATATTAAACATTGTATTGTGATTGTTAAATGTTAATAACCAAAGTCTCTTCAAACTCACAGAATGCATCAACTCTATACTGCCTCAAAGTTTTTATGGATCAAAAACAAAAACAGAGGTTAATAAATAAGCCTCAAGTGATCATCTTCGTATTGACATTGAGGTTAATTTCTAATTGAGCAAATTATATAAAATACTAGGAAATGCTTAGAAAACCAAATTAAAGCTTAAGACAATGACTGTATTTGTTGTGATTTAGCTTTATTTTATTTATATTTTACGCCATGGGCAATGTATAATTTTTGGGGAATAATTTATTAAATAATATATGCATTTATATATTTTTTTTTAGCTTATAATCTTTACCGTCTCAAAACATTGTAGCAGGGTCTTCGGTTCCAAAGGTACTGTGTTGCATAAGAGTTTATTTTATATTACTTTATCTGGGGAGTAATTTCTTGGAAACTGTGCTTGATCCGAAATCAAAATAACATAAATACACAGAGGGAACAATGGCCAATTGTAGTGTTAATAGGGAACAGATGTACACTGCTGCATGTGAAGTTTACAATATTCATGCTGTTGCAGTTCATAGAAATCCTGTAGATTCCCTCTGAGAGGCTCTCTCTCATCTTCCAGTAAATTGTCATTTGTTTTGGGGAAATAGACAGTGGACGGTTTCCTTTGATACTGTCTGTCGACGGACTTCAGATGGATGAGCATGTGGAGGGCATAGGCCAAAACAAGCAGTAAGATAAGGGACATCACAAGACCCATCAAAATGGCGGGAGAAAAATAGGTCCTACAATCTTTGGCAAATGCAAACTGTCCATCTTCAATGGTAAATCCTTGTATCTGTAACAGAATGACACAGTGTTATATATTCAACTCTAGAGAACTTATCTCAAGAGTAAATCGTGACCTTTTGTCGTAAATGTTTTTTTTCCTATATTCATTACATTATTCGTAAACAGTTAATTATTGGGGGATGTGGAATAAGCAGGGGATAAAAATGGAATATGAACATCGCTGAAATTCAGATGATATGTTGGCATTGATTTAATATTTTTAATATTTATTTAATATTTCAAATGATATAACAGTATGGATTAAAAAAAAATTGTAAATATTCAAATATCAAAAATATTATATATAAACATATATCAAATATATTAAAATACTAAAGTATTTTTCAAAATATTAAATCATGTTAAAGGTTTATCCAAAAGTATTTAATTGAGGCCATAATGCATTAACATTGCATTCATTTACAGTAGTGTTCAAAAGCTGGCATACCTTGACAGAAATTGACATGTTGTCATTGATTTTGAAAATATGACTCATCATACAAAAAAAAAAGTATTTTATTGAAGGATAGAAAGATTTTAGCCACAACTGCCAGAAGAATTGTTCGGAATGCAAAGAAAATCCCACATGTAACCTCAGGAGAAACACAGGCTGCTCTGGAAAAAGACGGTGTGCTTGTTTCAAGGAGCACAATACGACGATACTTGAAAATGAGCTACATGGTCGAGAAGCCTCTACTGCAGCAATGCCACAAAAAGCCCGGTTACAATATGCCGATAACACCTTGATACACCTCACAGCTTCTGGCACACTGTAATTTTGAGTGATGCGGCCAAAATAGAGCTTTATGGTCACAACCATAAGTACTATGTTTGGAGAGGGGGTCAACAACGCCTATAGTGAAAAGAATACTATCCCCACTGTGAAGCGTGGTGGTGGCTCACTGATGGGGTTTTTTTGGGTGAGAGGTGAGCTCTAAGACACAGGGAATATTGTGAAAATTGATAGCAAGATGAATGCACCCTGTTATCAGAAAATGCTGGCAGACAATTTGCATTCTTCTGCACGAAGGCTGTGTATGGGACGCTCTTGGACTTTCCAGCATGACAATGACCTTAAGCACAAGGCCAAGTTGACTCCAGTTTTCATAGCAGAAAAAGGTGAAGGTTCTGGAGTGGCCATCACAGTCCCCTGACCTTAATATCATCAAGCCACTTGGTAGAGATTTCAAACATGGGGTTCATGCAAGATGACCAAAGACTTTGTATGACCTGGAGGCATTTTGCCAAGACTTATTGGCAACTATACCACCTGTAGAATTAGATTCCTCATAGACAACTATTACAAAAGACTGCACGTCATCATTGATGCTAAAGGGAGCAATACACAGTATTAAGAACTAAGGGTATGCAGACTTTTGAACAGGGGTCATTTCATTTTATTCTTTGTTGCCATGTTTTGTTTTATCATTGTGCCATTCTGTTATATCCTACAGCTGAATATGAATACAACAAGAAATAAAAGAAATGTGTTTGGCCTGATCACTCATGTTTTCTTTAAAAATAGTACATATATTACAAATTCTCCGAGGGTATGAAAACTTTTTAGCACAACTGTATGTATAAATGCAACAATGTGGTTTCTCCAGGGAGTCATTGCTAAATTTTATAAAATAACTGTATTAACAACTTAAAAGGCCACCCTGTTAATCTGTCTACATGGCACATAAACAGAGCGAGCCTTGCTTTTATAAGACCAAAAACATTTTTTAATTCACTCATTCTAATATCATTCATGCAAAAAAAAAAAATAATGAGATTAACTGTACTGCAATATATACACATAATATTTATATGTATTTATATATATTTTGCCGTACATTGATCGGTTAACATTTGCACACTTTTAATGAGGTTAATTTTGGTCTGAATTCAGTTAACTGAATGGAATGTTATTTTACCCTTCAAATTCTGTCTACATTTGGTCATTATTTGCAGTTTTGGGCATTTTGTTATGTATGATAAGCATTTGGGTCAGCTGATACCTGGTTTATAAAATTTCATTTTTGTGTAATGTCCATATGGAGCTTTGGATTTATGGAATTTGGGTGACGTGCCGATCCTTTAAAATTCAGACGAATTTCAATTTGTTTGAAACAGAATGCACATGTCTAGCTTCTTGGCATTTCAGGAAGCCTGGTTACAATGTCCTGCGCTGGAGCACACCAGATAGCGATGACACCTTCAAATGTATGATTTTTCTCCACTATAACACGCATCTCACTGACTCGAGTCTAAACTATAATCAGTTTAAAGGAATCTACTTTAAATCTATAGGGATAGATTGAAATCAAGTGTTGGCATCCAATCAATAATGTTTTCTTACTGTTAGACAATATTTTGTGGGTGTTTTCAATGCGATCATAATCTTAAAATGTCTCAGACTGTGTTATCGATTGCTATGTCAATTTGCTGATTTAATTAATTATCATGGAATTCTTAGTATAAGTTTGGCAGTGTTGCTTGGTGGGAGATGTTTTTAGTGTTAGTTCAAGGAACAGTATTGGCATCAAAACAACTTTAGCTTAGTGAAGCAGTTCCGGTGTATAGATCGTGCCCCTGCAGTCTCACTGCTCAATTCTCTGAAATTTAGGAGTTAAATTACTTTTGTTTTGGGGGCAGAGCTTGACCTGCAAACTGAGCAGATACATATTAGCTGGGCTCCTGCTCTACTTGCCAATTTATCAAAAATACTCACCAATATTAAGCTTGTGTTCACACCAGGGTGCACTACCCGAGTTAGAGGTACCAGGGTGAACCTCCTGTAACATTACCCGAGTGTTTTTTGTAATAAGGAGCCCGAGGTGGGTCACCGTGGCCCATGGCATCACCTATACACTCCAGTCATAAACTCACAGTCTTCCGAATGAAGGGAGCTCAAAAATGGCATCGGAGAAGGCGACATCTCCCACCTGCATGCAAACCTACACGGTCGAGCCCGGATGCAGCTAGGCCCCAAAGCTAGAAACTACCAATTTCATCTAAGTTCAGCTTCCCAACATGACCCAAATTGAGGTTCCTGGCGTGTCTGTATTCCACACCAGTCCTGTAACCCCCAGGTAGAACCCTACGAACCTCACTAGGCCTAGCCTACTCTTGTCATTCCACTGCAAGTCTTTACTATAGTGGGCTGCTGGGCCCGACACTGGGACTCTCATGGCTAGACTTTGTGTTTCCCCAGCGTAGCATTGGCTGAACTTTGCAATGAGCTGAGGAACTTACCATTTCTTGCAAAGATAGGTCCTCATAATATCCGTAGTCACTGCACGATGTGGGGGGAAATTTAGTTTTTTCAATGAGGCCTGATCACTCATGTTTTCTTTAAAAATAGTACATATATTACAAATTCTCAGAGGGTATGAAAATTTTTTAGCACAACTGTATGTATAAATGCAACAATGTGGTTTCTCCAGGGAGTCATTGCTAAATTTTATAAAATAACTGTATTAACAACATAAAAGGCCACCCTAAGGTGCAGATCTCATAATCTTTCTATTTCTACTTCTCTGTTAATCTGTCTACATGGCACATAAACAGAGCGAGCCTTGCTTTTATAAGACCAAAAAAAAATTTTCATTCTAATTCTAATATCATTCATGCAAAAAAAAAATAGCTAACTGGTGCCCTCTTGGTGGGATTCTAAACTATTCTCTGTGCATATAGGTTACTCACTAACACTGTTGTAGAAGTTACTTTTATTCCTTTTTTAGTGTTGAATAGCAATTAGATTATTACTCAGAGGAAAAAGCATACACATGACGAAATAATCTCATGAGAAAACTTATGGGAAAAAAGAAAATAAAAAGACAATATGGGTATGTTATAGTCAACAGATCGGAAAACTAGTGAATGGGGTTTGCTTTAAGGGTGCACCTGCTATATGTTCACTGCATACAAACTAAATCTAAACAATTTTTTATTTTTTTTTATTTTTTAAAGCCCAATAGTTGCTAATTAAGTATTTTGTTAAATGTTTTTTTTCTGTGTTGAAAAATAGTGAGCATGGTAATTACTTTTCTGTGTGTATGAATAAGTAAAGCTAATGCTGAAAGCTTAAAAAAAAAAAAAGGTTTAATTTATACACAAGATATACAATTTACAATTCAAGAATGTTCCTTCAAGAGATTTGAAGAACGTTCAAAGTAATTCTTGCCCTTTTCCATGCAATTAAAATTTGAATGAAACCTTAATGTGACCAATAAAGGGGCTATCTCTGGGTGCCAAAAAGAGCCAATTTTTTTCAACCCACTACCATACAGTTTGGCAGAAAACTGAGGGACGGCATTCTGAAACTCTTTGCACCATAACCACTACTGATATGTAGTTTAAATTACTACTAAATTATAAAATGCCTTGTTTTAGTCATGACACAGAACAAATTAAAATATATAAAAAATTCATAACAGTAACAAGAGCTTATAGCAACATAGTGTTATTAGATTGAGGAATTCAGTCCCAGCAAGAACACTCAGTGTATCAAGTTAATGTAACAGCTTTGAGTCGAAACTGAAGCTTAAATATTTTACATTTCTGACATCATTAATCTAAAAGCCCTCTGGCTTTAAGCTTACACAACTAGGAAGTACATAATGCTTTAAAGGGCCTCTCGCTTTTATTCCTCCATTTAGTTTTGCTGTACCCTTGCACTCTGGGTAAAATAATTTTTTGTGATGTGTTGGCATAATGTATATTTACTTTTTATTACCTGAAAGTCCAGGAATGTGACATCCCACAACCTTGAGCTGCCATTTGCAGAGTTACGTAGTAAGAGCCCCTCGTATTTCTGCAGAGAGCTGACAAGGTCACAGTGGTAGGAATAGCTGGTGGGAGCAAAGATTCTCGTAGCATTGAACGTTTCTTGCACGGATTCATTGACAAGAATCTGGATGCTTTGTAGTCTGAACCAGTTTTGAACAGAGAGTTTGTAATAGCTTTTTATTAAAAGAAACCTGGAAAAAAAAATAAAGAAAAGAAAAAGTATGTATTTTACAATATATGATAAACATTTATAGAAACATGCGTTTATGATTCGACCATGAATACAAAAATGTGCTACTGTTATTATATTGTTTTAATGTTATGTAATGTTCCTTCATGCTTCTATATAATGTGTATATAGCCCCAACAACAATTAAAACAAATGCTTAAATTCCTGAATGTCATGATTACTGTGTGACCCAATACGCAAAACTATATCAACACAAACAACGTATACTGGACCTTAGAATGGACGCACTTAACGTAAAAGAGAATGGTCAAAATTACAAGCCAATGTCGGGGATATAGAATGAGACAATACGAATAAACTAGCCAAGAGCCAGGATACCTGAAGTAAGGAAAGTCAAAAACAAGACAAAGCCAAGAAATTGAAAATATAACCAAGAACATGCTCTCTGACAATCAACAAGTGGAAACCATGACGGTGCACTGAGAAAAGGCCTAACAGTGTTTAAATATGCCTCTCAGTGACCCCAAAATGTGCTTGTGCGTCGATAACATGACATCACAAGCACGCCAACGCCATCTTTAATATGGGCGGTGCGCCCTTTAACCTTAAGAACGGAACCGCAGTAGCCGGCATCCCTTAGAATGCCGCTCCAGCCGGGACTTGTCTTTTTGAAAAAGCACTCCGTCGCGATCCAGGTTATAATTCCCTTTTTTGGCGCGACCTCCCTGCTCATGTGCGGCTGCGCCAATCAGGGATTTAATTATCTCTGAAGTATCAGCGCGGTCACACTGATCACATGCGACCGCTTCGATACAGACCACCTACGCGTGACACTGAAATCCTTGAATAGTATCAAACAATTCCTAACAGTCTCATATCAGGTGAGACAGGCACTGTTTTGAGGTCTTGTCCCACCCTCCAGGGTAGAGTTAGGGAGAACATTAAATGAAAGGAACAATTATAGATCACAAACTCGGTAAATGAATGCAATACCAGTTGGCCGTTACAACAGCTAGTAACATGTTTTCGTGTGTAAAAGAGGTTTGGATTTATGTGATCAAAATATAATTTTGCCTCTTTACAAATCAATGGTAAATGCCCCATCTTGAATATGGGGTGTAATTGTGGGCCTCAGTTTTAAAGAATAATATTTCAGAACTACAAAGCTAGTAAAGGGGTTGGAAAACATACGTTATGAGGAAATGAAAAACTGGATTTGTTTTCTTTAAAAAAAGGTGCCTCAGAGGGGATGTGATAGCACTATAGAAAAATATACAGGGTCAGTACAAACTACTATGTGCTAATATGTTTATTAGCAGGAATATATAACAGACAAGAGGTCACCCTGTGAGACAGGAAGAAAGGCATTTTCGCTCACAGTAGAACAAACGGTTCTTTACAGTAAGAACAATAAAGATGTAGAAATCAATGCCTAAAGAGGTTGTGTTATCAGATTCTATAGATACATTTAAAAAAGGTTTGGATGCTTTTTTTTGCATAAAGAGAATATTCAAGGATATAATTGATATGTGTGTAGACTGATTGTTGGTTCAAGCAGAAATCTGATTGCCTTAACGGAGTCAAGAAGGATTTTTTTCCATTTTTGTGGCATTTTTGAAAATGGCTACAATTGGGGTCTTTGCTTTCTTTGGGATCAACATAATAATGGGATTCAGGGTTGAACTTGATGGACTTGAGTCTTTTTTTAAACCTAGTAACTATGTAACTATTAAAGGTAAACACATTTTGTTTTAAATTGCTTTTTATGTCAAAGGGCATATAAGGTCAACTTTGCTTAGATGAGCACTATTCTTTGCACTGACCCTCAGCAAAGACAGTGTAGTGTATACAGCTTCCACAAATATAATGTTATCTTGTGCATTTTCACAATTAGAAATTATTAAACATAGATTTGTTAAAAAAAAAAAAAATCATACCTTAATGTAAGTCCATTCATATCTCCAGTGCGGAAAAACTTTAATGAAAGTCTGCAGCAAATACATATAAAAGAAATTAACAAAGATAAAGTACAGCAGTAACAAAAGTGATGGCATCTAATATACATAGTACAGCCAGAAATGTATGCACTTGTATTTACTACCCTCGGTCAGACCTTAATATTTTTCATTAGCTGTTCAAATTATTTCACATTGTTGGATAAACTTTGAAAATCATGTTTTGAAAAAAAAATGGAAATATCGGGGACGGGGCACTCCCAGTGAACCTGTACTCAACCCCACACTGGGAATAAACACCACTACTGAGGGTTTGGTGTACTTCTTTGGATTTTGCCTTCTACCTTCCACCAGGTGGACTTCAGTGCCTCATACCGGGACTCCCGAGGCCAGTCTCTGTGCTTCCCCAACAAGGGATGGACTGACTTCTGAGTTAGCTCATAACATCTCGGGCACCGTCTGCATGCTCACTGAGATGAAAATTAATATACTGTTCTTTTGGATTACGTTTACATTTCTAGAATATAATGTACCTAATGTACCTAATGTACCTGGGGGGCTCCTAGGGCTTTCTTCTCTTTACTTTAAGCATTCACAGTGCAAATGGATTTCAAGATCAGAGACAACATGGGTTTACTTCTGGGAGATCATGCCAAACTAATCTTATTGATTTTTTTGATTGGGTAACTAAAATTATAGCTCAGGGTGGTGCAGTAGACATTGCTTACCTAGATTTCAGTAAGGCTTTTGACACTGTTGCACATAGAAGGCTTATCAATAAACTGCAATCTTTAAGTTTGGATTCCAATATTGTTGAATGGGTAAGGCAGTGGCTGAGTGACAGGCAACAGAGGGTTGTAGTTAATGGAATATATTCGAAGCTTGGACTTGTCACCAGTGGGGTACCTCAGGGATCTGTACTTGGACCCATTCTCTTTAATATTTTTATTAGTGATATTGCAGAAGGTCTTGATGGTAAGGTATGTCTTTTTGCTGATGATACTAAGATATGTAACAGGGTTGATGTTCCAGGAGGGATAAGCCAAATGACAAATGATTTAGGTAAACTAGAAAAATGGTCAGAATTGTGGCAACTGACATTTAATGTGGATAAGTGCAAGATAATGCATCTTGGACGTAAAAACCCAAGGGCAGAGTACAGAATATTTGATAGAGTCCTAACCTCAACATATGAGGAAAGGGATTTAGGGGTGATTATTTCTGATGACTTAAAGGTAGGCAGACAATGTAATAGAGCAGCAGGAAATGCTAGCAGAATGCTTGGTTGTATAGGGAGAGGTATTAGCAGTAGAAAGAGGGAAGTGCTCATGCCATTGTACAGAACACTGGTGAGACCTCACTTGGAGTATTGTACACAGTACTGGAGACCGTATCTTCAGAAGGATATTGATACCTTAGAGAGGGTTCAGAGAATGGCTACTAAACTGGTTCATGGATTGCGGGATAAAACTTACCAGGAAAGGTTAAAGGATCTTAACATGTATAGCTTGGAGGAAAGACGAGACAGGGGGGATATGATAGAAACATTTAAATATATAAAGGGAATCAACACAGTAAAGGAGGAGACTATATTTAAAAAGAAGAAAAACTACCACAACAAGAGGACATAGTCTTAAATTAGAGGGACAAAGGTTTAAAAATAATATCAGGAAGTATTACTTTACTGAGAGGGTAGTAGTGGATGCATGGAATAGCCTTCCAGCTGAAGTGGTAGAGGTTAACACAGTAAAGGAGTTTAAGCATGCGTGGGATAGGCATAAGGCTATCCTAACTATAAGATAATGAAAGTATTTAGAAAATTGGGCAGACTAGATGGGCCGAATGGTTCTTATCTGCCGTCACATTCTATGTTTCTATGTTTCTATGTTTCTATCTGTTGGCGCTATATAAATGGCAATAATAATAAATAAATACCTACTATGCACTATACTATTCTTGTTTCTATTTTTCATAACTAAAAATGTGCTGACTTTTACTATACACTTAATCTTGTTAAACTACACTATTGATGTTCCAAACAGTGTATATGGTGACATGCTCTGTCCTTATCATGCACAACAAAAATAAAGAATTATAAAAAAAAAACGTAAATATCAGAAAATATATCATGTGTAAAAAATAATCAATACATAAATAATTTTTTTTTTTAGAAATTCACAGTATTAACCCCTTAAGGACTGGACTGTTTTTGCGATGTTGTACATTTGCGACCAGGCATATTTACACTTTTGTGGTGTTTGTGTTTGGCTGTAATTTTCCGCTCTCTCATTTACTGTTCCCATACAAATTATATATTGGTTTTTTTCAGGACAAAAGGGGCTTTCTTTACATACCATTATTTATATAATCTCATGTATTTTAATTTAAAAAAAATTAAAAAATTTGATGAAAAATTGAAAAGAATACATGTTTTTTTACTTTTACTTGAAAAATCTTTTACTCATCTATACATGAGGCCAGCGGATTACTTGTACAACTACACATGTTGTTTATCGGATCCTATGCCCATGTGGCCTCATGTATATTGGGAAAACTTCGAATGATTTGAGACAACGAATGAGGGGACACAGATCGACGATTAGAATGGCACTATCGAGTGGTGTTGCATCTACCCCTATATCTAAACATTTCCTTGAAAAGGGACATACATTGCCAACTTTAAAATTCATGGGTATTGAGCATGTCCCGGTTCCCTTAAGGGGAGGTGATAGAAACAAGCTTCTCCTTCAAAGGGAAGCCTTTTGGATTTTCACACTTGGAACTATGCATCCAGGAGGACTGAATGAGATCAACCCCCTTAACTGTTTTATTTCAGCAAGATAGTGTTATTTGTTTCGTTATTATGTTATTTTTTTCGCTATTTTTTCGCTATTTGATTGACATACAATGTTAGCATTCGCTCGATTTTTTAATAGATTGGCTACAGATGCTTCTTTACCTCTATTTGCTACATATGCTTCGTATCTTGTGTACTCAGAATTTGATATCTTTTGTTCACTTTCTTTCTGATGTGACTATGTATATTTTTATACATGTTTCCTCTCTAAATTCTTCCACAGGACTTTGCCTCCCTAGCTGAAGGTTGGTTTGCATATGTATATATTATTTAGATGTTTAGTAGATTTGTACCTTGGGCGGCGTTCCTGTTTTTCTATATATATCCTGGTTTTTACATGGCACCTGAGCTGTTGGATTTGTTCCACCTCGGCTGTCTGTGTACTGTATTGTCAGTTTATGATATATGTTCTTTTACCAGTTTATAGTTTACTGGTTTATATCTTTTCTTGGGGCTATGCCCTTTCAACTTTCACATCTCACCTATGACGTCACTTTTTTCTCTGGTTACTCTCCAATCAGAATCTGTCTTCACTATATTTAAATTTTCACAATTCCCGCTTTTCACTGTCTTGATAAAAGTCCTTCGTGGACTGAAACGTCAACTAGATCATGTTGTATATTCTACACGTTTTTGTAATAAACCTAATGTATTTTTTCTAAGGAAGACCTCTGGAGTGCACTCGTTTTTTATGGATATTTATCACGGCTGAGGCAGCACCGAGGCAAGTACAAGACCGGCAAATTGAGTGCGGGACTTTTCAAGATTATATATATATATATATACACATATATATATATACACACATATATAATTTTTTTTATTTTTTATTAACACTAACTTTATTTTTTTTAATGATTTTACACTAGCAGGGAGACTGCCTGTCAGCACAGGCAGTCCCCCTGCAGGCAGACACTTGGACACCTATTGTGACCATGTGATCGCTGTGTTAAGCGATCACATGGCCCCAGGGGTCCTAATCCACCGTGGGGAGACTGTGTGGGCTGCAGGCAGTCTCCCCACACCGGGAGCAACGCTGATCGCCGCTGGGGGAACGACGGCGATCAGGTAAGTAACTAGGACCGTTCGGATGGTTCAGGACCGTCAGCGGTCGGCAATGGGAAAATGCCGATGACAATCCTGAACCATCCTCAGTCCTTAAGGGGTTAAATAATTTTAAATGTGTACTCAAAAATACTATATTATTTTAAAAGATTATCCAAAAATATTAAATTGAGGCCATGGTTGTGTTCCTAGTGGTGAAATTGCACATTATTACACCAGAATGATATATGCAACACTAAGCATTACGTACAGGAAATACATCTTACTTACGTAGCATTTTCTTCGTTGCACTGTGATTTCTCATTATCCATAGCATTAAATAGAGCAGTATTTTTATCAGTCAGGTCCAGTTGAGTCTGATTTTTAAATGTTATCAATATCCTTTTAAATCCAAAGAGTAGACATGTGTTACCATTTTCTGTGACATTGATAGGACAGTAAGATGTCTTTTCAGATACGGTTTCTTCGGCCAGCGAGTCTTTCCTTTCTATACTGTAGCCCCCTCTCTGCACCAAAGAAAAGTGAAGGTAGAAAAATGAGTACGTAATGGATTTTCTTAAAATATATCAATTATTTTTCTTTATGCACAATCTAAGGCTTTGTTTACATCTACAAAGAAAAAATGGTATCGAACCAAAAGAGGGAAATCTATCATTAAAAGGGTGAGCAGGGCTCCACTTTTTTTTATTACACAAGGCCACAGAGGAGTTTAATATTAGGAACTTATAGAACCGATAAAGGAGAATATTTCTGTGCTGTTGTCATCCCAAGCTCATGTTGTTTATGCAGGAGGACAAATATTAAACCCAAAGCAGAAAAAAATGAAAGAAGCGCTTCTTGGAATGCAGAATTGTACACAAAGTGCTAAACAACAAGGTGTTTTTTTTTGTTTTTTTAAGCATGACAATGGCAATTGCATTGGTTGAGTTTGTGTGTTCTCTGTATACTTCAATAAAACAGTTGTGTATCACTTTGTGCACAATTCTACACAAAGTGCAGATAGTTACTCAACCGTGTTAAGCATCTCGAAGTCTGTTCCAAAGGGTAGAAGATGAAGATAAGGGGTCATTGGATGGCAACATTTTTGTGAGTAAGATATTTTTGTTTATGGTCACTATAATATTCAGTCAACTTTTAGGCTGAGTTGTTGAGATTTTTACTGTGTGGCTACCCCTTAATGAAAGGTTATGTGCAATCACAGCTCTAAAAAAAATTAGTAAATTATAAAATTAGTCACAAAATTATTTTTCTATATTTTTAACCAAGTGTAATTTTCATGGTCTATTTACAACAGATAATGAGTTGACTAAAGGTGATGCAAAGTGCAGGTAGAGATATAAATGCGAGGAAATTTTCGTATTGCATTAAGTTGTGACAGGGCACACCTGGCACATGTCTATCATGCCTATCCAATGTTCTTATTTACAACCTACTACAGAAGCAGAATATATTAATTGAAACACGTAAGAATTCTACTTTTCATTTTTAAGTCTATTATTTAGTTGATGTAATAAAAATATTTATATTTACCCAAATTAGAACAATACTTAAAGTAACTCTGTCTCTTTCTGGTGTATTTGGGTGACTTTGTTGCTTGCAGTGAGGAGGCTGTGGGTGCAGGGAAATTTTACTTACCTGAAGTTGTCCCCTGCAGGCACCACTTTCTTCTTCACCGGAATCCTCTTCAACTCCTGGTGCTTCATCTGGAAGGAGCCCACGTCAGTAGTCTTGCGCATGCAACACCAATGTATATGGAAGATACCATGAGACAGCAGGAGCCTCCATAAATAAAGACTTTTCCGCCTCAGCCATCACTAGTGAAGGCTTAGAGCTTGACAAAAGTCTCTGCCTTTTCATCAAATTTTCATGTATATTCAAGAAAATACATAAGATAAAGTAGTTCCTTCAACACAGTCAAAGTGAGTATTTAAGAAACACTTTTTTTGTTTGTTTTTTAGTGTGGGGAGGGGGGGGGTAACAAAATTGCTTTCAAAAGCAGCATGAATTATAATCATCTCACCTGCCTAAGCCCTGATTTATATAGTCCATAGCTTTGGAATTGTCTGTGTTCATTTGGTTGATCTGCAAAGGAAATAGAACATGTTTAATCCATCCAATTAATTTACAAAAAATAACACCACTGTGCCATCAATAACTCTAAACATTGCATTAACACAGTATAGGAGAAAAAAACAAATTAAACAGGCACAACATTCTTGCTAACCTTAACCAAAAAAAAATTTAAATTGGGATTTGTCACACAGTATAGCCATCTCCAATCTCTGCAAATCCACCACATTGCAGCCATAGTTGTCCATTATTCCCCAAATAAAATCCCTAGCCAGATTATTCTACTAAGAATATATGTACAATTTCCTAAATGTAAATGTGTTACTATGTAAGAAGCAGCTAAATGCTGGATTTAGTCTCTCTCATAACTTTTGAGCTTTCTTGCATAGTTTTATATTTCCTACTTTGGTTACTTTAATCTTCCTCTAGAGCAGTGGTTCCCAACCCAGTCCTTACCCCCACCCCCCCAACAGTCCAGGATTTAGGAATTACCCAGTTGTGTCTAAGGTATTTTTAGGAAAAAACACAAAAAACACATTAGACACAACAGGGTAAATCCTGGACTGGTAGGGTTACTTGAGGACTGGGTTGGGAACCCCTGCTCTAGAGGGAGTAGGTCCTTGCTCTTGTAATTTCTCTCCTATACCTATATATAAATGTATTAGTCATGTCTGTGTCTCTCCATTCTCAATCGTTTTGAAAATATGTTTAATTAACTCTCCTTCGTACTTATTTCATGATTTCGTACCTGTTCTGCTTTCATATACCCAGCTCTCCTGTCATGGAATCTGTATCTACATTCGGCCTGGGCACAGAATGTCTAAATTGTACAGTTTCAGAATCTTCCAAGGTAAGATTTATTTATTTATTTATTTCATTAATGTTCTTCCTAATCTAATTTAAGTCATGTGTGATATTCACAGCATGCACAGCTCACTGTTGGAGTAGGGTACTAAGCTGTTGGCACTGCCCACATAAATAAAGAGACTTCTAATGGAAAAAAGAACAGCTTACCATAGTGCAAGACTACATGTTCTCCAGAAGGTTTTTGTGAATTATAGCTGAAAAGAACAAAAATAAGAAAAAAATTATTTATTAGTAATATCATGTTAGCATTCTTGCATTCGTGTTTTTAAGAATTCCGAAATCTAGAAGACAGAATTCAGAACATCACTCATTAGAAGATAACACATATGTGTCATAGTTCCACATAGTGACACATTTGTTGCAATCCAATTTGTGACATTGACTTTTATAGATACTGCATGTGATGCTAATTTGTTTCTCAGATTGCTTAGGATTAGAAGTGAATTATTCTCCTGATTGTAATCTTCATAGAGCAGGGACTTCCTCCCCCCTTGATTCGATCAACCTAATTTGCTTGTCATCATTTTTTTATTTTTTTAATTCACAACTCGGTTAGTGCTGTGAAACATGGTGTTGCTCTATAAATAAATGTAATAATAATTGCATTTAAAGGGACACTAAGCATTCCAACCATTACAGCATATTGGATTGGTTATGGTGAATAGATAGAGTATTTGGGTATAATCCCTTTACAAGCACCCAAAGCACTTTTCCTCTGCACCTGCCAACTCAGTTGAGAAATTTGGAGATTCAAATATATCAATCTACTCCACAGTTATTAAAAATTTGACCCAAAACAGATTTGATCAGCAAGACATACACAGTATAAGATACAAACTCTTACACACATGTACTGCCAGCCATATATGCAGATACACACTACACGATACACAAATATACATAGTGCCACAGACACACACACACACACACACACACAGACAGACAGATGCAAAACTGCTAGACACACACAGACACTCCACACAGATCAACAAGACACATACACAGACATACCTACTAAAAGATACAAAAACTCTAACACACATATAATGTCAGGCATATATGCAGATAAACACTACCAGACACAAATACAAATACATACTCTTATACAAAAATACATAATACCAGACACACAAACACAGATGAACGCTGACAAACACACAGATGCACACTGCAGACAAACACACAAACTGTGGAAGTTTTTGAATATTTTTTTTAGTCATTATTAAGGTATCAATATTTCAAATGTCAGAGGGTTTAGAGCAAGCTCAACTTTTACATTTACTCAGTTTTTTCACATGTGGAATAGAGAAACAAACAAGCCTAGCATATTATTGTATAAAACAAAAAATAACTTTAAAAATACCATAAGCAATCACTGGCAATTTGAATAAAACATACATTTTTCACATGTGGCACTAATATTTCTTTGGTTTTAAAACAGCTACAGTAGACGTCTCACACCATTTTTAAAATCCATATCCATTATTATGCATCACTGTGCTTTAATTTGCGAAAAACAAATTGTAAAGGGATTTTGTACAGTAAAGGGGATCATCGTGAATGTAAATTGCATTAGCCGACAGAATCAGGAAAAGTGGCTTAGGTAAATCACCGGAGGCCTAATCACTAAGCAGAATCTGGTTAGAAAAGCTTATTGGTGTTATTATGTGTCAAGTCCTCTTATCAGGTAGTATTACTCACTGAGGAGGTAAACGGTGCTCATCTCGTGTAATGCCCCAAAGCAACATTCCTGAAAGTCATGGTACTATGCCAGCTGGTATTTCTAGACATGCTTGGACCATTCTATTGTGAGTGATGGCTAATAAAACAGCAAAAGTGATACATTTCATATTTTCCGCCTAATATCCTATAGGAACTTCTGGCATCTTTGCATTCACCTGGCTTTCACAGTTCACTTTTTTTCAATGTATGAATTTATATGAAATTATACCTTGTATAAAATACATACAAGATGTGAATGACAGATGAAACATTAAGCAGAGCTACAAACACAAAGGTTAAACAATGTCAGTAAGTACACAAATACAATGACTATGAGCAGTGGCCGTTCTAGACTTTGTGAGGCTTAAACATGAGGCCCTCAGTAACACCCAAAGTAAAAAATTAAATAGGGGTTGCATTGAGTGTATAAACTGTTGCAGTTGTATTGAAGGACAAGCTTGCAGAGCTGGATACAGAGAGCTAGTCTCTGTATTCATTGTTCAGAGGCTTGCAGTGTAGCGGCTGCCTGTGCTGCAGCATTGTGAACTCTCTGACTGTAGTTATGGCACAATTTGCAAACTAAATTAATTTACAAAAAAAAAAATGTAATTAGCAATTATGCTAATTGTTTATACACGACTGCGGGGTATGGTGACATAGTAACATATTTCTGAGTGTATCTGGCATTGTTTACCTGTGTGTGACAAGGTTTGGGTGAGTGTGGCACAGTTGGAGGACCGGATTGTAAGGTTTTATGTGGTAGGGTGAGTGTGGCAGGGTGAAGGGGGTGAGTGGGACAGTTCAAGAGAAGGTGAGTCTGACAGGATTGAGAAGGAGATTAATGTGATATGGTAATTGTGGCAAAGCAAGGGTTGGTGAGTTTGATATGGTTGGAGGGGTGAGAGTGACAGGATTAGGAGGGGTTAATGTGAGTTTGGCTAGGTGTAGGGGTTGACAGTGTGAAGGGACTGAAAGTGTTTGGGAATGGTGATCGTGTAGGGGGTGACAGTGTGTGTGTGAAGGGTTTGTATGGTAATGATAGGGTATGGGTGGGGGATGACAAGGTGTGTGGAGGAAGGCTGTGACAGCACATGTGTGTGTGTGGAGTGGCTGTGATAGGGTGGGTGTGTGGTGACAGGTCGTGGTGGGGGCTGTGACTGGGTAGGAGGGCTGTGACAGGGCAGGGGGTAATACAGGGGTTGTTACAAGGCACGGGGTGGTAGGAGGGATGTGACAGGGCAGGGAGTGATAGGGGGGTTGTGACAGGGCATTGGATAATAGGGGGCTGTGACAGGGCAGGAAGTGGTAGGGGAGCTGTGACAGGGCAGGGGGTTGTAGGGGAGCTGTGACAGGACAGTGGGGCTGTGACATGGCAGGGGGAACTAGGGGGGCTATGACAGGGTAGGGGATGGTAGGGGGGCTGTGACAGGTAGGGGGTGGTGGGGAGCTGAGACTGTGACAGGGCAGGGCGTCATAAATATATTTTTATTATATTGATTCCCTGGTGGTCCGGTGGGCAGGCTGTATACCTGGTGGCCAGGTGGGCAGGCTGTATCCCTGGTGGTCCAGTGGGCTCCCTATCCGGTCTGCAGCTCTGCCAAGTGCAGAGCTGCAGACCACATGGTAAGTCTCGCGATCTCCAGTCAGAGCGTTGCTGTAATGGTTGGTAATCGCGAGACACCTCAGTCTGCAGCTCTGAATCCGACAGAGCTGCAGACTGAAGGCTGGCTCTCTCCCGAGCAGGCTGACTGGAGGGGCCTCACAACCCACGGCATTACAGGCAAGCCGCTGGGCACTCTCTTGTGTCGGGCCCTCGGTCATAGACCGAAGACCTGACGTGTCAATCTGCCCTATGGCGATTTAGGCAGCTGCGAGGCCCCAGACCGTGCGAGGCCTTCGCCTGATTAGAGAGCCGCCTCTGACTATGAGGATAGCAGTAGGTATAGTAGATTTCCAAGCAGAAACTATACACAATTTGGCTGAAATTATGAAATGCATAACCAGAATTCTCAAGGCGCCCCGTTAGATGTATGGAAGCATATCCAGTAGGTAGTGTGCTGTAAGCAGGGAAGTTCCACAAGGACACAAGGACAAGAGGAGAGAGCATGACCAAAAAAATGTGGGTACGGTTTCCAAAATTTTGCTGCCCCTGTCATTATTTAACAGCCAGAGCCCGCTCTCTTATTAGGCGATTTAGGTGCCCGCCTAAGTACTCATGCTGACTGTGTTAGCGGGGTCACCTAAATAACCTTAGGTCAGACTGACCTGTTAGGTCCTCAGTCTGTGACCACTGGCCCAACACCAAGAGGGGGCCTGGCAGTTTGCCCTATATGCTGCCGGGTTCAGGGCCCCTCCAATCAGTCTGCCCATGTGCCTCCGCTCTGCAGCTCCGCAGGGTGCAGGGCTGCTGACCATGTAGAGGTCTCGTGAGCTCCCAAAGTGTTACCATTGGTTACTATGGCTATGCCCTGGGTGCTCGCATCACATGGTCTGCAGTTCTGCACCAGGAAATGTATTGCTTTAAAAATAAAGGTATTTCAATGTGGGGAGTCTTATCACTAAAACATCCTCCACACACTGTCACCAACACACACACTACCGCCCCACACTGTCACCAACACACACATTGCCCCCACTGTCACCAGCACACACACTACCCCCCTGCACTTTTACCCTCCCATATACTGCCCCCCATTGTCACCAGCACACACTACCCCACAACACTGTCACCAACACACACACACTGCCATCCCACACTGTCACCAACACACACAAATTGCCTTCATTGTCCCCAACAGAAACACTGCCCCCCTGCACTTTCACCCTCCCACACACTGCCCCCCAACACTGTCACCAACACACACACTGTCCATCCACACTGTCATCCTCCCACATACTGCCCCCTTACTATCACCAAAACACACACACTGCCCCACCCTCCACACTGTCACCAACACACTCAACCCCAACACTGTTATCGCTCCCAACAGCGCTCCCCATACTGTCACCCTCCCACAAACAGTTCCCCCACACCAGCAGGTGTGAGTGTGTGTGAGGCATATTAGTGTACATGTAGGTGTCTGTGTGTCATGTCATAGTGTTATATGTGTGTACGGAGAATGGGTACATGGGTGTGCCAAACCAGTGAGAGTGTGTGTGTCTGTCAGTGAGTGTGTGTTTGTCAGTGAGAGAGTGTGTGTGTGTGTGTGTATGTATCTGTCAGTGAGTGTGTGTGTGTCTGTCAGAGAGAGTGTGTGTGTCTGTCAGTGAGAGTGTATGTGTCTGTCAGTGAGTGTGTCTTTGTCAGTGAGGGTATGTGTCTGTCAGTGAGTGTGTGTCAAATCAGTTAGAGTGTGTGTGTGTGTATATGAGTGTGTTTTTTTGGTGGGAGTGTTTTTTATCGGGGGGCAGCATTTCATCCTTGAACTCAGACAGCACAATGTCATGGGCTGGCCCTTCTCCGAGACAGCCCCCCGCAGGCCCGCATGTTCAATAATACTTTTGACATTGTGCAGCATCAAATGTTTTCCCTAGCTCAACTGCCTAACCTTGCATATAAGATAACCTCTCAGGGACCTGTAGTTGTATAAGTTAGGAGTTGGCTACAGAAAGGAGTTGTGCAAATAAACTTTACCCTATGTTCCATTTGTGGATTAGACAGAGGTGATTCATGTCATGTGTTGACAGGAGAGAATGAGTATAATTCACATGTATATGAACAATTTCTCTAGAGGGGAGGGAAAATTCAGATTAAATATCAGGGAACTGTTTGACCCCTGCCAGCTTAAAGAGTTGGGCGATTTGGGTCTATTCACTATTGGCCCAGGATGCATGCGAAAGGTTGGGGGTGAGAAGACACAGTACAGAAAGCAGGGCTATTACATAAGGGATGAGTTAGCCTACTTGTGCCACAGCTGGAGTGAAAATAAAGGTGCCTGTAGCAATCGATGGTGGCAGAGAGGATGCAGGTGTTTTACCACTCAGACAAGCTGTTGCAAGATATGTGGAGATGTATACACATTTTCTAATGGAGAGTTTCTCCTAGGTAGCATTAAAATCAACTGGCTTTAGTTAGGTAGTAATACTTCAGATTTTGAACTCCCAAGATCCCTGATTTCATCATCAATTTCATTGACCCATGCGACACCTGTGGTCGGTCTGCGTTTCCAGACATGTTTGGGTAGGAGAATTTTAGACTTTTTCAAAATTGTATTTGGTAAGGCTATAGCAAATGTGTGGAACAATTATAACATTTTGGGCAGTACCATCATTTCGATAGCGTTTACCTGTCCCAACCAGGATAATTCTAGTGTCAAGTTTGTTGAGAAATTTATGATGATTTTCCTTTATTAAAGGACCACTATAGTGCCAGGAAAACATACTCGTTTTCCTGGCACTATAGTGCCCTGAGGGTGCCCTCACCCTCAGGGACCCCCTCCCGCCGGGCTCTGGGGAAAGGAAAGGGGTTAAAACTTACCTTTTTCCAGCGCCGGGCGGGGAGCTCTCCTCATCCGATCCTCCTCCTCTCCTCCCATTCGGCTGATTGCGCACGCGCGGCAAGAGCTGCACGCGCATTCAGCCGGTCTCATAGGAAAGCATTTACAATGCTTTCCTATGGACGCTTGCGTGCTCTCACTGTGATTTTCACAGTGAGAATCACACAAGCGCCTCTAGTGGCTGTCAATGAGACAGCCACTAGAGGATTTGAGGGCTGGATTAACCCATTAAGAAACATAGCAGTTTCTCTGAAACTGCTATGTTTATAAAAAAATGGGTTAATCCTAGAGTGACCAGGCACCCAGACCACTTCATTAAGCTGAAGTGGTCTGGGTGCCTAGAGTGGTCCTTTAAAGCCTATCTAGTATCTGAGTACTCCAGGGATTTAGTTCTTCAATCAGATGGAAAGTCGCCCTGTAGCTGAGGATGATTTGGCAGGGGAGATTAACTGGCACCTGCATATTAGTCTGATCCTGTCCATAAGGGCAGTCCAGGCCTGAAATGCTGGCACACTAACTAGTGTTACTTACTAATCTATATGTGATTTCCAGAGGAAAGTGTCCAATTGTTGGCAATGTTAGGAAGCCTGCACCTCCACATCTAATATCTTTCATGAGATCCTGCATTTACAGTTTCATAGCGTTGCTGAAACTGACAACATACATAAGTGATGGAGCTCCAAGAGAGTAGCCTCTACCACAAGGGATCTGAATGCCACCCTCCCTGTTCTTACCCTGCAATATATTTTTAAAATAATTAATATGAAAATAGTAATTCCCCTCCCTATCCCACTCCCAAAAACCCCTACACAGTATATCCATACATACACACACACAGTACACACTCCTTCACACACACGCACGCACGCACAGTATATACAAGGTACACGCACATAGTACACATGAACATATACACACAGTTCACCTTCCCATGCACATGCAATACTTTCCCACTTCACCTCCATACACACTTCACCCCCACACACATACACATTTGACCCCTATATACAGACTTTACTCCTATACACAGACTCTACAAACCCAATAAATGTGCATACACAGTACAGCTCCTTGATACACAACGCAACCCCAAAACACATATACTCACACACTGCAGGCTGTATACATATACACAATCTCTACAGCCCTTAAACATGTGTACGCAGACACAAACTACAGCCCTTAACTCTACAAAGTACATCACAAACAGACCCCTTTACACACATTTCACCACAAAATCTCCTTCCACATACATGTAATCCTGTACAATTTTGCTATTTGGTATCCCACTTGTGGGAACACCATAGACAAGAGACCAGCAAACGCAGTGTGAGTGCCATTAAATTTGCTTGCGCTTTGCTAAACGAACACAGGACATTACACTCATCTTGGGGTGGTTGGAAATTTTGGGTGAATTCCCTCACTTTTTCCCCTGCAATTGACCCCTGGGGAACACACACAGGACTAACCACGTAAGGATAGACAATGTTAGCCATAACATGCAAGAGAACACTAAACAAAGCTTTGCAAAGAAAGTATATACAGTAATTTGACAATTGCAGCAACCAGTGAATTAGACTTTGTGTGATACTGGACAAGATTCTGTACTGTATGAGTGCGGTTTGGGTTCTGGACTTCCCTTATGGGTGGGATCAGACTGATATGCTTTAGAATATGTTCTCTCTCTAATGGCACAAGCGAGCAAAAACTATTTTAAGACCTGAGTGGGGATTTACCAAAGGGCAAGTTACTCTTAGAGTTTCTCTAAGCTTTTTTCTGTTTTCAGAGTTTTCATATTCATTGTTTTTGTTGCAATGCATTAACCTGGCTCACCCCAAGTTAAAAGGGTAATCCAGACGTGGACCCCGTGCTCACTGTGCCTAGAGGGGTATCAGCTACATCTCACTGACGAGGCCCAAAGAAGACAGAAATGATCATCTGGGGTTGCCGTATCTCTTGTGCAGAGAGAACTTACTGGCATTTCTGTTCCGGACTCCCTTATGTATGGGAACAGTCTGACATGCTTCAGAAAAAGTACAGTGTGCAGCTTACTTAATCAGGTCCACTTGTGAAACCTATATTTATTAGAAGAGCCTGCAAAAATACAAATGTTTTGAGACCCCTGTCAGTTTATCAATGTAACAATTTCTATAGTACTATTTTGGCACTAAGCACTTTCTATCGCTTGTTTATCATCTACAGAGTGTCCCTATTATGCAAGATAATAGTTTCTTATGTATATATGTTATGTATATTGCACTTTCTTTTTTTTAAAATCTTTAATTTAAATTGCTGTCCTATACAATTCCATAAAAAAGGTACATATCATATCACCCATTGTACAGCGCTACAGAGTCTGATGGTGCTATATAAATAATAAAATAATAATAATACCCTACAAGGCCATAACATCCGACTTTCCTACAGAGTGCAAGGTATGGTAGCCCATGTGTAACCACAGTATCACATCATAGTCTCCGACCGGCGGTAGTAACAGTTGTATATCTGACGACAAGGTTTTTATATATATATATATATATATGAAAATAGTGTAAAAGTGGTTGTAACCATTTAACCAGCACTGCCGTACCCACTTGCTATTGACGAGTATGCACGTATAATAAGAGACTTGCTAGTAGGTAGTTATGCGGCTGATGGAACTACAAGTACTGGCCCAACCAATGAACAAGAAAAAGTGAACATGTAGGTATAACAAGAAGGGGGGAGGGGGGGCAGGGAGGGAGTGGGAAGTCAAGGGATACCAGTGAGGTATCCTATGTGAACATTATCTGCCATAGTGAGGGTCTCTGTCCTGGGTGTCTGGGAGTAAATATCACCTCTAGATTGCTTTCCTTCCCCTTGCTTTCGGCTTGCCGGGGGTTGGGGTTCAGAATTTCTGTTTACTGGGACAGGGGGCAAAAGTCCTCCCCCCCCCCCATCTCTACCTCTCTCTAGATCTCCCATATCCAAGGACATCTCCCATATGTAAGTCCCTAAGTATAGTTTTTGTTCCCAGTATGTCGTAGTGCCCCCCACAGGAATCCTAGATGAATCTACCTTGCACAGAAATGGCTATTTAAAGTTTATCCGTATACTTGTGCCAGGGTTCCCATATTTTATAGAACGAGCGGAGGGTGTTATGTATGGTTGCCGTCAATTGGTCCATTAGATGATTTTTTTTCTACCTTTGCCCAGACCTCTCCTATCGGTGGTGGGGAGGGCTGTAACCAGTGTGCCGCAACAACTCGTTTCGCTGCCAGAGTTATTCTGTTACATCATTTCTGTTCTCTGTGGGTCATACCTTCCTGGGGTTTGGAAAGCAAGAAAAGCCAGGGATCCAGCTCGAATGGTTTTTGAAAGACCTCCCTAAGCAATACTCTTATATCCCCCCAGAACTGTGTCAGAGTGGGGCAAAACCACCACATATGTTACCCTCATCCCACACCAATAATCATCCGTGGGTCATACGCGCATCCTATATAACTGCACTGGAATGGTGTGTCACCTGAGTGGGACCTTGTACATTTGTTCCTGGGAAATCACACACATGGAGACCTTCGCCGCTGCCTCCCACATATCCTGCCACTCATCACCCTCAATCTCTTACCCGAGGTCCCTCTCTCATTGTTCTACATATCGCAGGGGACACCAAGCTTTAGAGGTCTTGCATAGTTCAGTATAGATGTCCGTAATAAGCTCCTTCCTAGATAACATAAAGTCTCAAATAAAGTGGGTGTAGTGGTATATTGCACTTTCTACTAGTGATATTACATTCATATTTATTTTATTAAATCAGCATGAGCATAGTCAATTTGTTGGATGTACAAAATACTAGGTACTAGCACTTTACATTTTGTTTGGTTTGTTAAGCATGTTTTCAGTTTAGTTCACTGAACTGTCCTTGTACTTAAAATTGATACCTAAGGTTTTAGCAACAGTACTTTTTCTTTTGGCCTGTGATCCAATTAAGTATTTTTGTATTATTTTCACATGCAGTAATTTAATTAATATCTCTAGTACTATTTTGCCACTAAGCACCTTTTCACTTTATCTGGTTTTTCATCTACAGTGTGACCCTATTACGCAAGATAATAGTTTTGTTATGTGTATATGTTATACATTATATTTGCCTGAGTGTACTTTATACTTGTGCTCATGCAGACGTTTCTTTAGTATATATGAGAGTTTTGAAAGTTATTACAATACTTTAAAGGGACACTTTAGTCACCAGAACAACTACAGCTTATTGAATTTGTTCTGGTGAGTAGAATCATTACCTTCAGGCTTTTTGCTGTAAACACTGTCTTTTCAGAGAAAATGCAGTAATTACATTACAGCCTAGTGATAACTTCACTGGCCACTCCTCAGATGGCTGTTAGAGATCCTGCATGGGTCATGGCTGCCTAAAATGCATCCAAACATTCAGTATCTCCTCCCTCTGCATGCAGACATTGAGCTTTCCTCATAGAATCATTGATTCAATTAATCTCTCTGAGGAGATGCTGATTGGCCAGGGCTGTGTTTGAATGATGCTGGCTCTGCCCCTCATCTGCCTCTTTGTCAGTCTCAGCCAATCCTATGGGGAAGCATTGTGATTGGACCAGGCTACCACTTCTACTGATGTCAGCAGGCAGTGGGCAGGTCTAACGAAAAAAAGAGACAGAGCAAGCAGCTCCAGACTTGAATACAAGTAAGATTTTGCCATTTTTAGGGATGCATGAGGGGCCCAGGGGGGCTAGATGATGGTTTTAACCCTATAGGGTCAGGAATACACGTTTGTGTTCCTGACTCCTTTAACATTTCTGCATATTCTAATACTTTACTACTAATACTGTCTGTGGTGTATTTTCAGGCTACTTCTTGGCCCCTGTTTGTCCCTTGTATGGTTCATTCAACTAATTAAGTGTATGCAATTTCACTTGTATCTGTGGTTAATTATGTGCCTTTGGAGTTAGCTTGATAAAGATCTCATTGTAGGTCGAAACGTTACTGTTTTCAGTTTTGTTGCCCACCATAACTTTGTTTCATGAAACCAGTTTTTTGGAACCTTGTCATGCTTCCAGTTAAGCATTTACATTCACACAGACCTATATGTATCTTTCTCCATTCTCCTGGTCCACCAACATGTCAACCACGACAGTACACCAAGCTCAAGAGGAATGCCCAGAAACTAACCCCAGCACCACCTACTACATCATCTGTATTCCATGATGAATTCCAGTTCCTCCATAAGTGATCCATATTGCTTTGCTATAATAACAACAACAAAAAAAGATTGGCAGAAATAAAAATGCCAACGCAGCAGGTTTGACAGTTCAGCCCAAATCTAAAATGGAAGGAAGCAGTGAAACATGAAGGACAATTAGAATTGATTGAAAGTTCAGATAAGCAAGATAATCTACAGATGAGGTTTGAGAGAGCATATGAAGATGGTGAGGGGGTGGGATGTAAAAGTGAGTTCCAAGCATGTAAAATGTCATGTAAGTGGGAGAGTGAATATTTTATGAATGAGGTGGGGAGCAAGGTCATAAAAAGAACCGGTTGAATGAGCAAATCATTGTTTAGAAACAAGTAAACAAGGGCTCTGTAAGTAAAGGTAAACGTGATGTGCTATGCAGCATTAGTGGTATATTATATATGTGCTTTCATAAATAAAATTGTGAACAGTTTATTTTTATCAATTAACAAAAATACAGAACACATTCAGACATATTCAAAGAACACATTAAAACAACAAATTACATTTTAGCTATTAGTTGTGCTATAATGTGTTTACATTGTCCTCCATTATTATTTAAAGGGTTACTAGAACAACTATGACCACTTCAGTAATTTGAAGTGGTCATAGTGGTGGGAGCATGTATGTGCAGTGTTTGTGATTGAAACACAACATATCCATTGGAATTTTTAATTGTGTGCTGGGGAGGGGAGAGGGGAGTGGAATTGCACCCCCAGCCAAGAACTCTCCAAGTTGCCTAATGTTAATTCTGTGTATATTTTACGTCTTTCGTCAGCATGCACTGCGCGCTGCCGACAGACGTGATAATCTTCTACCTTGCAAGAAGAGCACCCCCTCTCCGTATCACTGTGGGCTCCCCCAACCTCCCGCGCAACTAATAGCTAAAATGTAATTACTTCTTTTAATATGTTATCTATGAGAAGCCTATGAAATTGGACTTTGGGAGTGACGAGTGACGTCATAATGAGACATGGAAGATCGGTGTCGGGCGCTTCTCCCAGCGCTGCATTAAGGTAAATTGAAATACTTTTATTTACAGGTTTTACAGTGGGGGCTGGGGGGGATCTATTAGTTATTCCACATAGGGCATTTATAGTGTAAAAAGGCATTTTTATTACAAGGGTTGGAGTAACCATTTAATTATTATAGATCTGTACTCACTGTAAATCTGCAGTGGCATTGCCTGGCATAAGATGCAAATTCATAGGACCATATGCGCATGCCCAGAGAAACACAGAAGTTGCATAAGGAGCATCTTCGAAAGAAAGTGGTACCGATCGCCTGTAGGTGCAGTGGGAGTGAGTTTAATACTTACGCCTGTTGTACATCGCACCCCGATAGAGTACGTGAAAGAGGAAGTACAAATCCAAGAGAAAAGCAAGAGTTCCTCTTTAAACATTCCATCAAACAGAATTACAAAAATATATCATATTGATGCACATGTATGTTCATTCGACGTATCTCTTTTTTTTTAGCATCAAGCTATTTTGTAACAGGCTAATACTCCGCTAATTAAATATGTGCTGTATGCATAAGTATAAACGTATTGTGGCTTACAGCGTTACTGACCCAAAGTCTTCTTAATAGAAGATTAGAAGAATCGCCACATGTTCGTACTGCCCTATATCCAGAGATTTGATTCCTACTATGTCTGCTGTAATCATGATATTTTATGTAACTGGCACTTGCAAATAATAATAATGTCACTAATTTAAACTAAGTCTAAGCAAGCGAAAACCACAACAATGTCAATTTACTGAAGCATAAACTAGATTGATTGCTTGATGGATTATATTATTTACAGTTTAGTGAATATGCCTCTGAAACTTCCACAGCTGGGATAGTTCATCAATCAATGACACCACAACATTCTGCAATAAACAAAACTTTATATGGGGAAATTCTATTAAATCAAGAGCTGATTACATTAGTTCCCTTTGCTATATAACCGTCACTATTCGATACTGTACCATCATATTGTAATAACGTATTTAGAAAACACAAAATATAAAAAGGTTCAACTTTCTTCATTTAGATATTACTCTGAATCCAATACGTTTTATTCTGGCCAGGATCATTTAGAATCAATTATATGTTCAGTCTTTTTTATAGTTATAACAATAATATAATTAGTAAGAGTAGCATTTCTATATCGCCACCATATTCCACAAGGCTGTACAATAGGCATGTAAAAAAATAAATAAAAATAAAACGAGGAAAAAAAGTTAAACTGAACATAAACAGGAGTTGGGGGAAGCCCTGCTAAAAATGAGCTTACAATCTAGCAAAGGTGCTGACAATATAATAACAATATGTTAGCAAAATGTTCAATAATTGCACATACTCACCTGTCATGCAGTTTTGCAGAAACCAGCTTCTTGGAGCTAAGAAACAGTATTCCTAAAATTGCTAGAAGAAGATAAATTCTATTATTTTCCATTGAGCGCTCGCAAACCTTTTCAGATCAAATGCATTTGTTAATCTGGGGAAGCAGAAAGAGAGATTTGACCTTCCCATCGCACTTGGCATGTGACAAGATTAACCCAATAGGATGCAATCCATCTGAGTAGCAGGTACAATGTCACAATACCAGCTTCTTGTTAACACTGCATACATAATTCTAGACAGCTTCTTGGGCATTAATTAGCTCATTTTGTGTGCAATGAACTCTGCATTATTTTCTTTTTATATTCTATTTGATCATCCATTACCTTGTGTTCTGAATTCCTTATTGAAACCTTTTTCCTGTTTAGAATTTTGTCTGTAATTGATGCTAACGTTTTGTTTTTAATGTATCGAGTCTAGTTCGGATATTGAAGATTTTTCCACCTACTTTATATTATAATTTATTTTACGTTTTGGTAAAAGGTCATTGACTGCCTGTTGTTTGTTTTTGTACTATCCATTCCCATCTAACAGTTATTTATTTATAAGTCAGCTTGTCTAGTAGAATGTACATATCTCTAGCAGGGCTTCAATGGAATTTATCATTTATTGACAAAAGGAAATAAGGTTGGTGTGTTTTAATAATGTTTCTCTTATTGAAGTGTACCTTGGTCCAAAAAAGCTGAAAACCACTGGCTTAGGGTGTTAACTACACTTCGCCTTCTCTACAGCCAGGGCTGGATTAACATAGGGGCTGATGGAGCTGCAGCTCCAGGCCCAGGCCCAGGCCCATGGAATAGGCCCATTGATTTAGAAGATTTTTTTTTTATTTTTATTTTTTTTTTACACATTACTCTTAGGGTTGCCACCTGGCTGGTATTTTATGGTATTTGAGGCTGCCTGGCCAGTGCCAGTATTGCAGTAAAACCGGCAATACAAATGCCGGCATATTTCTATGTATAAACAGAGATTACTCTGCAATACCTGCGCCAGCCAGTAGTGGTCACTGTGTGTGGAGAGAGGCTGTGTGTGGGGGAGCAGCTACACAGGACAGACAGTCCAGACAGCAGCTCCCAGTCTGCAGAGACAGCCTACAGCTCAGGTAAGTGAGGGATGGGGTAAAGGCTGCAGGGAGACATGGGGACACTGGGAGACACTAGGGGACACAGGGTGACCTGGGAACACTGAGACACTTGGGGACACTGAGAGACCTGGGGACACTGGAAGATCAGGGGACACTGAAACACTAGGGGATGCTGTGAGACACTAGGCACTTGGGGACACTGGGAGACATGGGGACACTGAGACACTGTATCCCTAGCGTCTGTGTCCCCATGTCTCCCAATGTCCCCAAGTCTCTCAGTGTCTGCATGTCTCCCAGTGTTCCTATGTCTCAGTGTCTCCCAGTGTCCCCTAGTGTCCCAATGTCTCACAGTGTTCCCATGTCTCTTAAGTGTCCCCTAGTGTCCAAGTGACACTGGGCAACATGGGGACATGAGGGGACACTGGGAGACATGGGGCACTGAAACATTGTGATACATTGGGACACTGTGATACATAGAAGATACTGAGACATGGGGACATGAGGGGACACTGGGACACATGGGGCACTGAAACACTGAGATACATAGGGGACACACACTAGGGGATACTGGAAGACATGAGGACACTGGAAGACTAGGGGACACTAAGACACTGGGAGACAGGGAGACACTGGTAACAATCCCTCTTTTATTCAGCAGAATAAATGTGAGTAGTTTTTTGGTGATTTTACAGAATTTTCTCTTAGGTCACTCCTTGTGATTTACACGCATACATAATTAATTATGCAAATTAGTAAGGCCGGTATTTTTTTCCAAGAAAGGTGGCAACCCTAACTATCCTTAACATACTCTTGCTTAAGTAGGGAAACTTTAGAGGGATGTAGGGGAACAAAACTTGTGCGGACTGGCTGACAATGAAATTAGTTAAGGTAAAGCTGGCATTGTGCACAATGCAAATGATCTTGCTGCTTCAGTCTCTCTAACACTGTGACATGTTCCTTTTCTTCTACACTCACTACATGCAGCTGTTCTCTGTCCCAGACCATATACCAGGAGCTTCTGCCTGCTAGTAAGGAGGTTAGGAGAGGAATGGACCAGCGAGTGCTAGGGGACGGTCCTTAGAAAGCGTGGAGCGAACTCATCGTTAGACACATTTATGCCAAGCTGTCTGCATAGTTTGCCCTTAGTTGGCCAGCCTGCATGATTGGCAGGTTGGCCTTCCAATTCTTTAGGCAGACACGCCCGCTTTTTAAGGCATGTTCGCCTCTTTCGGCAGTTCTGATTACATGATTTGCATCAGTGGCCCACCCTTTTACCCCGTCCTGCTTCACTGGACACTGCTGTTAGGGGTATGGATTTACTTGAAAGATGAAAGCATAAATTAGAGAGAGATTAGCATAGAGTGTGTGTTTTCTCATAGCTGCACCCTATGAATTTCCCTTCAGCACCATTTCCGCCAGATACATGACGATTGGTAGGTATGACTCTTTTAGTGTTTTTGGTCGATAAGATTCTGTAATTAGGCCCATCATAATTGTCAGCACCAGGCCCACTGGGCTCTTAATCTTGCCCTGTCTACAGCAGGGATAGAAGGTTTGATGGTGACATCTTTCCTGTAAAATATGTTGAAAGGAACTCTGTGTCTGCACTATATAAACAACCAGGCAGCCCAATGTTCAGGGCTGGCAACAAAGGATCAAAGTCAAGAGTCAAGCTGAAGGTCAGAAGCCAGGAAATCCATGAATTGGGAGCAGGATGACAGAGATCAAAAGTCAGAGACAAGTGGACCGGGTCAAAGTCAAAGGTCAGAAGCCAAGAAGTTTACTGGACATCAGGAACAGGTAATCATGAACAAGCATCAGGAACAAGAATCAAGAACAGGAACCAGGATGCTAGGAGGCTGGGGCAAGCACAAGAACAACCAAGCACTGACCAAGTGCAGAGCTTGAGAATTTATAGAGAGAGCATGTCATGTTACCAGCCCCTACCTCACTGTAGGCGGAGCCCCCAGGAGAAGCCGGGACCCGACGCCATATTGTTTGCATCAGGGCATCTCTAACCTGTCCTCCCCCACTCTGTCCTGAGAGGATCCACATGCCGCCAGACATCCGCATGGCGGCTGCCATCTTGCTGTGGCTCTGCCATTGCGGAGACTGTTGCCAACATAGAACACTGGACCAGACTGCTGGTAGCAGTCCTGCAGTGACAGCACTGGTAGATCTGCTCCTCGGATGCCACAAGCACTCTGGAGCAGGTAAGTGCAGGCGGTCTACATGACAGGGACCCCTGCAGAGAAATGACCTCAGGGTTCAAACTTGCGTTGGCCAACCAGGATGTCGAAAGGACACATAGAACACTGGCTGGACCTTATATGAGGCTGCAAAGTCCAAGTGTAATGTGGCAGGATTGAGATCCTTGGTTATCTTAAAGAGTGAGGTCATAGTATTTATGAGGTACAGGACAAAAGTATATTCTGTGTGGAGAGCCACATAGAATACACATTTGCCCTGTATGAGTCTCCTTCAAATTGATTTGAATTCTATTAAAGACTTGGAACTGTTTATATAGAAGCATTTCCCCTCCTTTTTTCACTACTTATCTATTACCCTGTAGCATACAGTTGTCCAAGGTCCATTGCTTTCTGTGTTTTTGTTTACCTTTTATTTTTTATTTCTATTTACTTATTTTCCAGTAAATTATGTTATTATTTTTGCAATAGGGTCCCACAGCTGTGTAATCTCTATATACACAGTAGTGTGTGAATTCCCCCTTTGCAACATATGTGGACTATTATGAGGACTTATTTCATCTGATTTCAGTTTTTATGAACTTGCACATTTGGATGTATATCATAGATCCTTTAAACAAACTATTTGCCCTTTTTTTTAGGGGATCAGCAACAAAGTATTTATTTAGTTTGGATGAAGTATCTGTTTTATACAATTTGTATCATTTGCACTTATTGTTACTAATATACTAGCTCCTGGTATAGCTTATCACTTTAACCAGTGATTTATTACAAATATACAATATTGATTTAGAAACAATACTCTCCATTCGATCCTACTTCCTGAACCTCTGTCCCCTCGACGTTTGCCCTTATATGTGGGCCTATAAAAGTGATATTATTTCTCAATGAGAGTGAATATAATACGTGGATGTATAACATACTTAGCATTTTTAACCCTAAAAAATAATAACGGTTACATATCGGTTAACCGACTATATATCACAGTTAGTGTCAATTCTTCTACATGTTTATCGTAGTGTCATCATAATCAATCTTGGTTAGACCAAGCTGCTTAACTTTACACCTTGTACTATATTGCAGTTTGATATATATTGTGTGACAGAAAAAAACATATATGCTTACGATTAAAGTGTCTTGTTTAACAGACTGAGAGAGCTGTAAAAGTTCCTATATTACCCCCAGTGTTGGTAAGTAGTAAACTTTGTGTGTTAGAAATAGCTAAAGTTTCCATGTGAGTTAACTAAAGATCAGTAGCAAAAAAAAAAGCACAGTTATATCCTATTTGAAGGCCCATCCAGTGAGCCGCTGCATCATAAATAAAAACCAATTTCGGTAAATCACATAATTGCCACTTAGTCCGGTGTGTCTACCACCAAGATCCTCCACAAAGAAATAACCCTGTGAGTCACTCGATCGGGCAATATCATTGGTCTGAAGTCAATGCTGTAGGCTTTTCACATTCTTGATCAACTCAATTTTATCTCTGTAAGTTTTTCTCAGTCCAGCTGGAAACATCCATGTATAACGCATACCGTTGCTTCTCAATTTCAAGGTATGTGCTGTAAATGCCTTTCATCCGGTTTTAGTAGATATTAATAGATCATTGAAGATTTTTATATCAACAATTTTAGACTTCTTAAGAGACTTGGACTTTAATGCCGTGGTAATCTTGACTTTGAAAGCAAACGTGTGAAGGTAGACTATTACTTCTCTAGACATATGGTCCGGTAGACCCTTAGCCTTTTATAATCCTGTGCGCTCTCTCAATACCATATGGATGAATACCTGGCTGTAAACCCAAGAATATGAAAAATTCCTCCAAATTTGTTTGTGATACATTTTCAGGGATTCCCCTAACCCTGAT